TTTTTTTTTTTCCCCCCCCCCCCTAGATTGGGACCCCTATGTTATGTTAAACAAAGAATTGGCTTGGAGCGGCCTAAGGTGACAGAAAAAACTAGTCCCTCAGTGCGACCTGTGATGATTTAAAATTGTGTCACGTGATCGCTAGATTTTTGTCATCTTTTATTTATTTATTTTATGTAAAGTCGGAAGGACTATTCTAAGAGAGCATTAATTACAAGAATTGCGCCCAACATTTAGTCCATCATCTATCCCGAGGGGCAGACCCTAACTAATTTTTATATACCATAGACTACTCCAACAACACGACCGATGAAGGAGCAGGTAGAAGAAAAAGGATAACACTTTGATAAATAGAAGATTTTTGTCATCTTCCCCAGCGTCGGCAGCATCGCCCAAGATTTTTCACCTCCACGTGACCTGCATAAAATGTCACCCCGTGTCACGCCCTCACCGTTTCATTTTTTCATAAGTATTCTGGGAACAGAGAAAATTTTTAGTGGTGAAAAAAATATTTTCACGCCCCTTAAACATCACCGGTCACGTGGGTGGAATTTTACTTAGGCGATACTGGGGTAAATATATTTGTCGGTGCATAAAGGTAAAAAAAAAAACTCTTCCCCTTTCCGTCAGATTTCATAGAAATCCGCAGTATACACATTTTTTTTAAAAAAATAATTTTTAACCCTTTACGTTGGTATAAAAGGAGTGAGGACCACTTGGTGGCCTCGACGGAAAGTACTCCTTATTCACCCCGTTGCTTTTGGAAGGAGTTTTTTCATTATAGTATACCAAAATTTTTGTAGTTATGTCATCTTTAAAGTCTTTAAACATTTTACCTTCCCTTGAGAAAAAATATCCCCTCGACGTTTCTTTTTCCAAATTTCACGTGACTCGTCCTAATCGAGCTGGTTACAACAAAATTTATGACATCAGTAGATCAAAAAGTTTCTTTTTTGAGTTAGTTGATCATCCTACAAACACCAATGAAATTCATCTTAAAATACACACAAATGATTATCACATGAAAACTACCCCAATTAGTTATCCTAACACAAGTAAACTCCCTAATGACAAATACCAGATTAGTATTATGCTCACGCATTTTTTTTCTTTACAAAGAGTTTTACCCAGGCGTATTCAACAAAAATTTTTTAATTTTATCCGAGATAAATTATTACAAAGAAAGGCGATTATCATGTCACGTGCTAGTAAAATTGATTCACGTAACACAACCACCAAAAATTTTTTTAATTTCTCTTACAAACGATATCGTTTTCACTTTGGAATATATATTCCTTGTTCTCATAATCACTCTACCCCTGGTCTTATACTCCCAAAAGGTACTTGTCAAGTACAAACGCCATTCATGATGTCGGACTTTAGACGTGCTTGCGTCATACACCAACCGTTATTTTTTAAAAATGATGCATATAAAAATATCAAACCACGAAAAAACAAATCGAATGCTCCACCTCGAATTCGTAATATCAATCACAAGACCTATCATGCCAATTTATTATACGACCGTTGGCGTAAGAATGAAAAGAAAATTGTTATCTCTCGTAGATTGGGCATTTCTTTTGAACAAACCCTTCACGCTCGTATGGACAACAATACTAGGAAAACGTTCAACAGACACATGTATAAGAAAAAACTATCTAATTTCTCTCTTTGTAGAAGTGATAATACTCATGTGAATAAGGCTCAGCAAATTCATTTTGAAAGATCCAAAAGACGTGTCTTTAACAGCAAAGAACATAACCCTTATAATCGAAAACACCATCGTTTGATTACTGCTCAACGATATAGATTTTTATACACCCCCCTACAATCTATCAACAAACCAATTAAACATCTACAATATACACACGGCTGGGACCAATCGAAATATAATTTTCAGACGCCACTCCGTAGTAATTATTTGCCACCACCGACAGTATTATCTGAGGACGTCTCGTTCATAAATCCAGTCCTTACAGTTGCACCTTATAACCCTATCCCTGATATGTTTTTTCCCGCAAAATACAAAAACATTATTCCTAAAGACCCTATCTATAATGAACAGGGTGCTTTTATAATCCCTGGTTCTCGTGAATGGTTTACTTATATGCATAATATACACATTAATTTACCTCCTCCTTTGACTAAAGGTCAAAAACGTGCGATAAAACAACGTGAAAGAAATATAATGCTAAACAAAAAACACTGTGAAGATGCTAAATTTCACGGTACATCCTTTAATAGATTCAATCAGCGTAGGGTCGCCATAAAAAGTTTGACTGATTTAACCAACACCTTCGATTCGACGATGAAGGATCTTGTCAATTACTACCAAACTATAGAGGACCCATACCTGAGATCCCGTTTTCACTCATCAATGGTCAATCAAGCCTCCCGAATTTCGGATAGAACTCAAAAACACCGTAATAATATACGATCATCGGCAATTCCGTCAGGCACTTCTGAAGATACTTCAGACGCTACCGTCGAACTTGAAAAATGACCTAAGAAAAGACGACTCCCTCCTATTATTAACAAAACTTTTTCTTTATCTGACACCTCTCATAGATGCAAACGACAACGCGTATCTTCTGGTTTCAAAGACGTCTCAACAGAAGATAACGTTACTATACTTAATAATTATAGTTTTTAATTTTAGCCTATAATTTTATTTTTGAAACAATTTTATTTTTACAATTTATTTTACTTACGCTTTACTTTATTGATATTCACCCAAATTGTTAAAAGTCAACCAAATTGTTTATAGTTTACCAAATTGTTTATATTTTACCCAAATTGTTTATAGTCACCCAACTTTTTTTACACCCAAAAAACAATTTAGAATAGTGTGAACCATTCCAACTCTGACAGTATTTACAGTTGGTGGCCATGTGGCCAAAAGAAAAATACGGAACATATTTTAATTGTGTTTGTTATTTTATAATGTATAGTTTTGCCGCACTTAATTTTTATACATAAGATATTTTATTTACATGATAATTTACCATAATAATGTAGCCATTAGATAGATGTCCTCACTTCTTTGGTTCTCTAGTTCTCTGTTTCCTTTTACCTGCTCCTTCATCGGTCGTGTTGTTGGAGCAGTCTATTATATATAATTATTAGGTAGGGTCTGCCCCTCGGGATAGATGATGGACTAAATGTTGGGCACATTCCTAAGGATAAATGCTCTCTTAGAATAGTTCTTCCGACTTTACATAAAATAAATAA